AGTTGGCAAATGTGAGGCAACCAGAAATGCCTTATGGCACCTCTACATTACCAGCAATCAGGCTATTTATTTCCCTCCTTCCAGGCTGCCCGCAATCTGACTTCCCGGGGGCCGCATTCGGCGGCCGTTTGACACAGCAGGCAGAGGCGCCTCATCACACAGTAAGTACTCTGGACGCATGATAATGATAATGCTCATGCCGATGCTGATGATGATGATGATGATGATGATGATGATGATGATGATGATGATGATGATGATGATGATGATGATGATGATGATGATGATGATGATGATGATGATGGTGATGATGATGATGATGATGATGATGATGATGATGATGATGATGATGATGATGATGATGGCGGCTGCCAGAGAGGGCATTTTACATTTCATTGCCTGCTCTATCCTGTCACTAAACGTATTCCTTCTTGCATCACCCAGGGTGTCCCACGCCTACTGGTGGAGATGGTCGAGGCCCTGCGTAGACGTGGCCTATGCATGGAAGGCATCTACCGAATGCCAGGACGCGCCTCCAGGGTTCAAGAAATAATTCAACTGGCAAATTCCGTAAGTCACCTACCTCATTAATCCTATGCATGCAGTGAAACATCATGCAACACAGAATATTCAGCTGACTTACCCTTAGTTGTACACTAACATGCAGATTCGCATATGTTTGCCCTTTCAGAATGCGAGGGAGCTGTGTGACCGACTGGTGTGGGATGAGGAGGCGTTTGATGGTCGCACATTATCGTCAGCCATCAAGCGCTACGTGGGCGCACTACCTGTCAGTCTTCTTAATGCCAACATGTTTGTCTCCTTTGTGGCGTCGACGGCGATGGGGACAGCGTCGGAGAGAGGTGGCCGGTCTCTGCGGACACCGGCAGGCCTGGCGAGCGCCTTATGCCAGTTGCGAGTAGCCCTCATGAAGGCATTTGGCTGCCCTGGCAATTCAAAGGCTGAGGACCGAGAGAGAGGGTGGCGATTGGCCACGCTTGACTTTGTCATGCGCCACCTACGGGAGGTTGTGGCCCTTCAGGCGATCAACCGCATGTCCCCACGTGCGCTGGCATTATGTCTCACACCCTCTCTCTTCGGCTCCACGGACGATGCCGAGACCAACAGTCAGGTATGCATTACCCAACAGCTG